GAATTCCCTCCAAACTTTAACACACTCCACAGGCTGGGAGCCGGGTGAGCTGGATGCCTTAGGAGAGGCGTGGCCCGGCACAGGAGTTGGTCCCCCTGAGGGCTCGACCTTGGCAGCTGCTGTCGCGAATACTCGCACGCGAACACATGACAGTCGTATTTTATTCTTCAAAGCAACGTCACTCCGTTCCACTCAATTTAGAAACGTCGGAAACTATGAAATGCGAGCTTTTCAAAATCCTAAGTCTCCTTCCTGCACTCAAGTAGAATTTTTATAAATTCTGATCAAAAGAGGTTTCTCAAAACTTGGATAAAAATAGTACCTGTATGTGTATGGAAACAAACATTGCCACGGCTTTCAGAACTTCATCACTACGTAACATTCCAGGAATATGAAAGAACCGTTTACAATCTACACATTTTAATTTCATTTCCGTAGTTTATGTTACTGCTCTAATTCAATTCATCTCGATGACTATAGTAAGGTCGTTTTTACACGAACAGTAATGGGCATTGGAAAGAGGGCTTCGATACATTGCCATAGATTAAACAGAGCTAATTAATGTTAATCACATACTGAAATTCTACATATTTCAGAAAAGGTTTTGCTCCTTGCCAAGGTACTGCCTACCAACGAATTTTTCCTGCACAATTTAGCAAATCATCCTCGATTTACGTCGAAATATTTAGTTCTTCGCTACTGAAAGGCGCTAACGGAAATTATCAACTTCGATGAATTTCGCGTTGGCCGTTTCCTTGCGTGGCAATGGAAGGTTTTCATTATTGGGACATAAACAAGAGTAGGGTAACGGTCTCACTCAACCAACTTTCTAAGAGGAAGATGCGTTATTTTGCTGAAACAGCTTGTATGTTTGTGAGTTGGAAAGCAATGGTTGAAGGAAAATGCCACAGAAATGCCGATCTCGCTCGGTATCTAATGTACGAAGATTTAAGACTAAAGGATAATTTTCTAAGATAAAATAGTTTGATTGGAATTTTTTTACCTTAAAGCATCGGCTATTATTAATGCAAATACTTTAATTTAGCATTATAAATATCCAGAAAAAAATATATGTTATCGACAAGAAAATTAGAGAACTTTAATTTATAATCTTTTAAGAAATAAAATTGAAGAAAGGCAACCAATTTCATTTCAATCATACTTTCAAATTTATTAAAAAGAGACTCAATTTAATATTTTAAGGCCACTCAATTTATCGCGGTCGCAGGTCGCGTCAAATCTTCAAACTTTTAGCTTTTCACATCTAATTATAATACAAAAAGCCGATGTTAGGTGACACCCGAAGATTAAATAAAATTAATGAAGTAAAAAATTACTTATGGATTACAGCCGTAATATCGAAAAAAATCCACATTAAATGAGCCGAAGCACGATACCAATTTTACACTGAAACTTTTGTTCAAGACGTACTATGCAAGAAAGTCAATGAATTGTCCGTGAAACCGAGGGTTATGTATGAACGTCATTTTAACATCTGCTGTAAACATTAAGTTGCCATCCGGGTCCAAGGCCTCTGTCATAATACTATGCAAGACACTTTGCATAAGTTAGTCAGCAAGGAAGAGGTTTTCAATGTGGAAGCCCAACGAACATTCCTCAGAAAGCAATGTTGCGGAAGCCCCACAATTTTTTTCCGAAATTGGCAGTACACCGATGGACATGTCATTTCAAAACCTCATATACGAATATGAGATATTAGGAGAAAATGGCATGGAAACATGTATGCGAATGTAGAAATGGGTTTCAAATTAAATCGAAAGATTTAACTTATACATGAGATGAGACAACGAACCAATTCTTTTTCGGTTTGATATTTTCTAAACAAATCTTAGTGGTGCGAGGCGTCCATTGTACACCTCCCGAAAGTCAGGTATGGAAACTCTGAACGTGACAACGTTAACATTCAGATTCAGGATATTCCTGCCGGCAACCAACACTTCCAAAAACACAAAGTTGCAGACAAGATTTAAGAATGACATCAGATACTAACTGTAGATACAATGAAGGTCTCAACCATACCATGAGAAAACTAGACTAACTCATCTAAAATGTCTGGGTTTGAAAATTAAATGTTTACAGGCTGTTCTAGCGGCGACAATGCTATGCATTTTCATCCCATCTTGTTGGGGTAAATTATACCGAAAATAAAATTTCAGCTATCATGTTTGGTATTTGCAAAACATTGCGCTCCTGCCAATCATTTAACACATACCATTATTCATGACATTACTCCTCAGACATCAGTCCATTACTCATGCTCTAACAAACTTTGAATTATTTAATGTTATTAACAGGTATTTTCGAACTCAGACTATTGACCGTTATCTTCAAAGTGAATGACAAATGTTTCTATAATACACTTGCATTTTATGACAGGTCTGGTACCATTCTGATAGAATTTCCGATCACTGTCGCCTAAAATGGACTATTCTCCTCCGAGTTTAAAAAAAGTCTAAGAAGTCAAATTTACGAAGTTGCACTAATCACTAATATTTGATAATTTACAATAAATTTTACCAGTTACTAAGAAAACCGGAAGAGCATTACTGAACGAATACAACGCGTAGAATATTCACGAACAAATTGACATAACGTGTCGTCCCATAACGATGAGGGCAGTCCTGGAAGTGCATTGAACACGCGGTCCGGTGTCGCTCGGGGTCGTAGTCTGGGGTCAAGTCGTCGTCGTCGTCCAGAGGGTGTCGCCCGCAGCCAGGCGTGTGCGCGAGCGGCGCGGGGGCGGCTGGGAGGGGGTTGCAGGGTGCGGCGCTCCGCTGCGACACTCACACTGGCGGGGGAGCACTGCCGACGTCAGCCTGACAGCGAACTCGGGACACCGGGGAGCGTGGACGCTAGGCCGCCGCTGGCACCTGCTTCTTGCTTCTCACTTTGCTTTTTTTGATCTCTCCCTCTCTGGGCACACACGTGGATCACACACAGCCCCGCGGGGGCAACACATGCAAAACACGTCCGCCGAACGGACACGCACTCGGGACGGCCGAAGAATCCGGCGAGAGCGTCGGCGCGCGCGCGCACTCGAGGGGGGG